TGGAGTCAGAGGCTTGAGCTCTGTGGATGGTTCGCACCAAAGGAAAAGCGCCATTGGTCCAAGCCAACCAATCAAAGAAAAAAAAACACTGACAGCATTCATTTAGATACCTCATTTTTGACAAACAAGTGAGGGACAGGGAAGCTCCTCCCTCCCTCCTCCTACACCCCACAGGCAGAGTGGTTTCCCCTTCTACCTTAACGGCTTTGAGTCAAAGCTCCGGGACCCCTCTGCAAGGAGGAACCAAAAGGGGCGAGGGGGAGGCCGGGGGGTCCCCCCCCCCCCTCCACTGACTTCACCGCACGTCCCTGGTGCAACCACATCTGTGCATTGTGGGGTGCTGGATGGCAGGGAATGGCAACGTACTGCTACACACAAAAACCAAGCTAGTAGATGAACAGCTGCGACAAACTGTGCTGTCCCTTCTGAGCTTCTACTGGATAGGAAGTTCAAGGAAGCCAAGCTGAGAGAGTTGGAGCTGTTTAGAGACATGATGACCGTAAGTTCTTGGGCAAAAATGTAAAATAATACTTTACTGGGCGATGTACATTTGACTGATCTGGATTCTGGAAAACAGGTTTGAGAATTGAATAGAACTTTAAGATGTCATTACACGACCTCCAGCAGCCGTCCGGCACACCATACAAGGGGTGAATGTTCTGCTGGGTTTTATCTCCTGGAATGTCAGATAATAAGAAATCAGCACAGAATGTTGCCGGGTCTGCCAGATTCTCAGGTAGTTTCACATTGTATCTTGTGCCAGATGTAACAGTTTTCTAGGAGGGCACGTCCGCCCTTGTGTGAACGCCGTGTTCCAGGACTATAACGTTCGCTAGATTTAGCACTCATTCACACGAGTAACGTCTGGCACGTACAGCTCCATGCTGCGTGCACGGCCGTATCGGGCAGCTCCCGGGAAGGACAGGTGCTGTGTGTGATTAGTACGCAGCCCCTGTCCTTCTGTATGGGACTACGCGGCCATACACCGCCCTACGCTCACCTCAAGTGCAGGTCGGTACGGGTGCGGTTGTCCTGGACAGGATCCATCCCGTCAGCGTATGAGTACGGACACCCGCACGGACGTGCAGGGCGGGTGAGCGTAGGGTGGCATACGGCCGCGTACTCCCATAGAGAAGGACAGGGACTGCATACTAATCACACACTGCACCTGTCCTTCCCGGGAGGTGTACGTGCCGGCCTTTTCTCGTGTGAATGAGGCCTTAAAGGGATTTTACACTATGAGGGTTCATTCACACGGGTGCACGGATCCATACATCCATGCAGGGGGTCATGTTTATACGCCTGGGGACACACAGGTGGTCAGCACAGCCGCCTGGTAAAATCAATGACCGGCTGCGTCTGTGCGGATCATCCCGGCGTTCACATCCATACAGGGACTGATACCCAGCTCTGGATGCAGAAGACCGCTGAGAACCCTGCGTCTCTTTTTGTAACACGGTGCAAACGCAGCCTGTCATTGATCTAAGGGCCTCATTCACGCAAGGTTTTTATGTCCGCAGGTGTCGTTCCGGGAAAGCTGCAGGCGCTCAGCATGTACAATGCAATGACAGGCTGACAGCGGTCGTCTGACCTTCTGTGTACAGATGTCATCACACATGGAACGATAACCTGCTGTGAGGGCCGGTTCATACCACAAAGACTGCGTTCCAGAGCGTTCGGCCTCTGAAACGCAAAACTGCTGACTCCCTGCGTTTAGGAGTGGGAGGGGGTGTGGCGGTGCATTGAAGTCAATGGCACTGCAGCCATGCCCCCCCCGGCCCGCAGTGCGATCACCAGGACACCCGAAGGCGTGGCACATTAGTGTCTGCGTTCTGGTCCAGTTCGATCTGCAAAAATGCTGCATGCACTATCATCACAGAACGCAGGCATGCTGCAGATTCTTGACGCAGGAATCCGCCACCGGACATAAAAGCCTCATGTGAATGCGGCCTAACATGGCGGCTGCATAGAACACCTGCATGGAAATATGGATCCACGTGAACAAGCCCTTAACACCAGGGGTGGGCAAACTCCGGCCCTCCAACTGTTGTGGAACTACAAGTCCCATGAGGCATTGCAAGATTCTCACAGCCACAGGCATGACTCCCAGAGACAGATGCATGTTAGTATTTGTAGTTTCACCAAAACTGAAGGGCTGGGGTTTGCCTACTCCTGTTCTAAGGTTTGCTTTGAAAGGGTAAGCATTGTCATTCGTTGTGGCGCATCCATTCGCAATGAAACGGGCTGCTAACACAACGCACATTCGCATGTAATGCACCACAATGCAGTGAACGATTGTGAATCCTAAAAAATGAACTTCCCTTGTTTGTGCAGTTTTGGTCTGTTAAAAATATATTTTTGTTAAATCTTTTCATATGTTCACAAAATACCTGTTGATCCAGCCAGGAATCTAGTGAGCGGATTGTTGACTGTTATCGGTTAGCACTATTTCCAGTTCTATCTGTGAACTACAAGCCCCTCCCATGTTATGGAGATAAGGGCGTGGGGGAGTTGTACTATCGTCCCAGGGTGACAACATAGCTCCTCCATGGATACAGTACAGTGAGTGAGCGTGGTCACCCTAGGACAGGAAGTGTGATACTTACTGATAGGATGACCAGGTGACAAATAAAGAAAACTAATGCAAAACGAAGGACAGGTAAGCTGCAATACGTTACATTTTAGTTCTTGGGTTTTATAAAGTATAAATTATATATAGTCTGCGCCAAATCGTGTCACCTGACAGGGCTGCTACATCATTGAGCCCACAGGCCGTCCCTCTCCCTGGAAGTGTCAGGTCTTTAGACTCCCACATAAAGCACTTTGCTATATCTGTTTATAAAGAAACAAATTTGGGGTTGTCACCAGAACAGGAATAGATGGGAAATCCACCAATGGGGACACTAGTTCTTGTGACTCTGCTGACCACCAGAGTAGACAGGAAGTGGCTGTAGGCAATAGGGTTGCCACCCATCCAGTTTTCGCCCGGACAGTCCGGTTTTGGAGTCTTGTGTCTGGGTGTCCAGCCAACAGGCACAAGACACACAGTGCCGACACCGGCACTTTAAATTTTCTGACAGATACGGCTGCCGAGGTCCTCAGTATGCACGATCTCAGGCGGCCTGAAACCGGATCTGCCACTGAGCTGCTGGCAGTCTGTGCCTGTTTACTGGTGCCTGCGCTCAGAGAAAGATCCGGCAGATGCGGCCGCCCAAGATCGTGCTTTCTGGGGACCTCTGCATGCCGGATCTGTGATTGGTGAGACACCATAGCCCAGACAGCCCTGGTAGTTGCACAGCTCCCCTGGGACCCTTGCAGCCCACCTGAGAGTCGCACAGCTCCCCTGGGACCCTTGCAGCCCACCTGAGTGTCGCACAGCCCCCCTGGTATCCTTGCAGCCCACCTGAGTGTCGCACAGCTCCCCCGGGACCCTTGCAGCCCACCTGAGTGTCGCACAGCCCTGCTGAGTGTCGCACAGCCCTGCTGAGTGTCGCACAGCCCTGCTGAGTGTCGCACAGCCCTCCTGAGTGTCGCACAGCTCCCCTGGGACCCTTGCAGCCCACCTGAGAGTCACACAGCTCCCCTGGGACCCTAGCAGCCCACCTGAGTGCCGCACAGCCCTGCTGAGTGTCGCACAGCCCACCTGAGTGTCGCACAGCCCTGCTGAGTGTCGCACAGCCCTCCTGAGTGTCGCACAGCCCTCCTGAGTGTCGCACAGCTCCCCTGGGACCCTTGCAGCCCACCTGAGAGTCGCACAGCTCCCCTGGGACCCTTGCAGCCCACCTGAGAGTCGCACAGCTCCCCTGGGACCCTTGCAGCCCACCTGAGAGTCGCACAGCTCCCCTGGGACCCTTGCAGCCCACCTGAGTGTCGCACAGCTCCCCTGGGACCCTTGCAGCCCACCTGAGTGTCGCACAGCTCCCCTGGGACCCTTGCAGCCCACCTGAGAGTCGCACAGCTCCCCTGGGACCCTTGCAGCCCACCTGAGAGTCGCACAGCTCCCCTGGGACCCTTGCAGCCCACCTGAGAGTCGCACAGCTCCCCTGGGACCCTTGCAGCCCACCTGAGAGTCGCACAGCTCCCCTGGGACCCTTGCAGCCCACCTGAGAGTCGCACAGCCCCCCGGGACCCATGCAGCCCACCTGAATGTCGCACAGCCCTCCGGGACCCTTGCAGCCCACCTGAGAGTCGCACAGCCCCCCGGGACCCATGCAGCCCACCTGAATGTCGCACAGCCCTCCGGGACCCTTGCAGCCCACCTGAGAGTCGCTCTTGCAGCCCTCCTGAGAGCTGCACAGCCCTCCGGGACCCTTGCAGCCCACCTGAGTGTCGCACAGCCCTCCTGAGAGTCGCACAGCCCCCGAGTGTCGCACGGCCCACCGGAGTGTCGCACAGCCCCCCTGGGACCCTTGCAGCCCACCTCAGTGTCGCACAGCCCGCCTGAGAGCCCACCCAGGCCACCTGGAGACATCAGGGCGCCAACCCAGAACAACACAACACATGTTGCATCATATTATTTTGTGTTGCTGGGATTTGTAGTCCTCTAAAGCTGGTCTCCATACTCCCTCTCTTGGCTGCCTCTCCTCGCTCTCTCTTCTATATTTGAAGAAAAAAAATGACTGCGCACGGTGCCAGGGCGTTCGGGTTTCACTTGAAGAAACGGTGGCAACCCTAGTGGGAAAGCATTGAGATGATAAAAAAAAGGTAAAAACAGTTTTACTGAATGTTACAGGTGTCCCCATTGGAAGATTTCCCTTCTATTTTTGTTTAGGTGTCACCTGTAAACATTTGAATTGATATCACGTTCTGTCCTGCTGATTATCCACAACTAATAGTACAATAAAGTGCAGGCTCTGCTAAATCTTGTCCTTTAGGCCTCAGACGAGGACAGTGTGAGTAGAATAAAAGGCAAAGCCGGGTGCCATGTTTCCTGTGCAGGGCTGGAATGTGGCATGCTTCCAGGGCCGTCCATGAACACAGCAGAGGGAGGACTCTGATGAATAGGCCCGGCCCTACTTTTGTCTGTAAACTTTGTACACAGTCAGAGGCCCCATGATGCCTCTCTTCCCTGTTTATCAGTGAGGGGGAGAGGAAAGCACTGAGTGCAGCTGCAGGACAGGTGAGAGAGGACAGCATCCAGCGGAGCACAGGTGACCACCTCCTACACCTTCTCAGCTCTTTTTGCACCTTTTCACTCTATTGGCTTGACATTCCTGGCTGGAACTTGTAGTTTCCCAGCAGCTGAAGAGTCAAACGTTGCAAAAAAACTTTCTATTATTTCTTTTATTATTTCACATCAAAAGTTGACATTTAGGACTCGTTCACACTGCGGGTGTTATTGCCACCATAACGCATGTGCAGTATGAACGGGCGCTATCGAATGCTGCAATGCATTGCTGACATGCTTTGCAGTGCTTGCTTTTTGTTTACTAAAACTTGCATGTCATGTTCTGCAGCGTGTTGTGATGCGTTACAGTGCGTCAGAACACATTGAAGGGAATTTATCAAAACTGGAGCAGTTGCCCATGGCAACCAATCAGCATCTCTCTTTAGTTTCTTTGGTTACGCTTTGAAACAGAGAAGCTGACTGGTTGCCATGGGCAACTGCTCCAGTTTTTATAAATCTCCCCAGCATGGTATATAAGAAAACATGCAATATGTCTTATTTTGTGAACACATTGGGGGGAATTTACTCAAACTGGAGCAGATAAGGAAGACAAGCCCTCAGGGGCAGGGCCCTCCTTACCATCTTGTCTTGAATTGTATTGTGATTGTAATGTCTTCCTTATATTGTAAAGCGCTGCGCAAACTGTTGGCGCTATATAAATCCTGTATAATAATCTAGAGTAGTTGCCCATGGCAACCAATAGGCGTCTAGCTTTCATTTTCAAAGCTTAGGCGAACAAACTGAAGAGAGAAGCTGATTGGATGACTGCCACGAATTCTGTCTGCCCCAGTTTTATTAAATCCCCCCCCCCAATGTGTTGAAAAAAGAAGACATATTGCATGTTTTTTTATCGCATGATGGGCAGGATTTATAATAAACTGGAGCAGTTGCCCATGGTAACCAACCAGCTTTTTTGTTTCATTTTCAAAACGTAGCTGAACAAACTGAAGAGAGAAGCAGATTGGCTGCCATGGGCAACTGATCCAGATTCTGGCTACTCCAGTTTTGATAAATTCCCCTCATCGTGCTATGAAGAACTTGTATTATATGTCTTATTTTTCAACACAATGGAGGGAATTTATTAAAACTGGAGCAGACAGAATCTGGAGCAGTTGCCCCTGACGACCCATCAGCTTCTCTCTTCGGTTTGTTCAGTCAAGCTTTGAAAATTGAGCTGATGGGTTGCCATGGGCAACCGCTCCAGATTCTTCCTGCTCCAGTTTTGATGAATTCCCGTCAGCGTGTTGGTGTGAACTGAAGCCATGGGGCAAAAGGCAAATTGCCTTGTTCTTGTGCAATGGGCAATGCTGCAGCCGCGTGCGTGAGCCCTTATCACCGGGGTGGGCAACCTCGGCACGCCAGCTGTTTTGGAACTTTTTCACATTTTATCTTCTGCCATATGTAACAGTTTTACCAGGATGGTATGTCCGGCCTTGTGTGAACGCCGTGTTCCAGGACTATAACGTTTGGTAGATTTAAAGGGATTTTACACAACGAGGGCTCATTCACACGGGTGAACGGATCCATACAGGGGGGTCATGTTTACGCGCCCGGGGAGGCACAGGTTTTCAGTACAGCCACCTGGTAAAATCAATGACCGGCTGCGTGGATCATCCCGGCGTTCACATCCGTACAGGGACTGATACCCGGCTCTGGACGCAGAAGACCGCCGAGAACCGTGCGTCTCTTTGTGTAACAAGGTGTAAGGATCCATGCAGCCGCAGCCTGTCCTTGATTTAAAGGCCTCATTCATGCAAGTCCGCAGGTGGGTTCCTGTCGCAGGTGGTTCCGGACAGTTGAATGGGGCCTAACATGGCGGCTGCATGGAACACCTGCATGGATATATGGATCCATGTGAATGAACCCTTAACACGCTTCAATACAGAGAATCGTCATTGTTCAAAAGGCAGGGTGGGAAAACCCCGGCCCTCCAACTGTTGTAGAACTACAAGTCCCATGAGGCATTGCAAGATTCTTACAGGCATGACTCCCAGAGACAGAGGCATGATGAGATTTGCAGCTTCACCACAGCAGACATGCTGAGGTTGCCTGTTACTACCTTAGCACCTATTCACACTGTCATACATGCATACGTGCTGGTTAGGGATGAGCAGCGTCATTTCTGTGACATTGTTTTCAATGAGAAAATACCAATCGGGGATATTACACAAAAGGGAAATATGGTTGTATTTGGGTCGTTTGATTTATTTATTATAGCGTTTATTCCGTTTTTTGTGTGTTTTTGATTGCTATTTGTGCCGCTTTAAAAGGTTTTTATGCACATTTTTTTTTTCTTTTGTGAAACCCCCCCCCCCCACAAAGTAATGAGGCTAATGAAGGGGCATATTTGGTACCAGAACAGGCTCAGAATAGTTAAAGTGACATTAAAAGTCAAAAATATTTCCCCCTCCCCCCCAATGTTAGTGTAAGCATTTACCTTAAATGATGTTTCTTAATCCGATCTTCTTCTTCTTTCCTGTCGCTTTCATCTGTCCCTCCAGCGGTGCTCCGGGTCTCCGATCCAGCGCTAACTCCTCTGTCCTTGCTGGCACTTCCTGTCCCACGGTGTCTGCATGCGGGTGCACGCGTCCATAGACTTACCTTGCGTCTCTCCTCGTCTCCCGGCCGAAAATCTGAACTGCGCCTGCGCCCGCCTCAAGATGCTTTGCGGCCTCCCGAAAAATTTTCAGATTTTCGGATGGGAGCGCGCGGCGAAGACAGGGGTAAGTTTAAACCGCTGTTTTTTGTTAATGTTTTTGCATATATCTACTGCTTGCTAGCCGTAGATATATGCAAACAAAGTTGAGGGTTTAATAACACTTTAAAAAAGGAGCTTCTGTAACCATCGTGAGCCATTTAAAGCCGTTGACCACGTACCTGACTTCCGAGCACTAATGAGCATTTAACTCTTGAGGTGCTGGGGATCCCTCGCTGCAAAAGGTGCTTTTTTTTCTTGTGCCCAAGGGTGTACCTGCGTACCTGTAGGGATGTGCAAGTCCTTGTGTAGCCGCTTCCTCTCATAGAGTTGTACAGGCGGCTGCAGCTGTCCCTCCCGGGTGCAGATTTCCGCACAGACACGCTGTGTGACTGCACATGTATGTCGCTGATTTAAACTGAAAAGTTCAATAAGGACTGGTTATACACTGGCCAAGTTGCAGGGGTAGCCAAACTCCGGCCCTCCAGCTGTGGTGGAACTACAAATCCCATGAGGCATTGCAAGATTCTCACAGCCACAGACATGACTTGCGGAGAGATATGCATCATGGGATTTGTAGTTTCACCACAGCCGGAGGGCCTGGAGTTTGGCTACCCCTGGAGTAGAGCAACGTTTGTGATGACTGAGAAGGAACTGGGTTATAGGATTCCTTGTTTACAGGGGCATCCCGAGGCCGGGTGTCACCCAAGGCAGAGACCAGGTGACAACCCGCCGTGACATCACCACAAGCATACGCGATGACATCATTGCGCATGTGCGATCATCTAATTGACGCCTGCCGGCGGCCATCTTGGTGATGGACGCCGGCAGGGAGAGGAGAGGACATTCACCCTGCGGAATGAGGTATGTCGCCGGGTCCCCTCCTCTCTCCTGACACTGTCGAGCTCTCAGTCCATGACCGAGTGCCCGACTTTTTATATGGGGTGACACCAAAATGACTGTCAGTCATTTTGGTGTCACCCCTCCAATAGTGTCACCTGGGTGCAGGCTGCTTGTAGGGCAATAGACAATGTTCCTGACTGTCGAAAGGCACGATATCTCGCAAGCAGCAATATTGCAACACATTAAAAAAAGTAACTGTTCCATTGAACATTGATCCTAACTTTTTTCCTGATAGGGAAGGCGAGTTCATAGACAGACGGCAGCTGACCAGATCTGAAAGTTCAAAGTATTTTTACTACTTGCTATCTCTTTGGCTTAGTCCCATAACCCTCGGCTTTATGTAGATATTAAATATTGGCATCGTGTAGACAAACTCGATTTCACTCGCTGAACTGCATAGCTAAATGCATTTTCCTGAGGCACAGTGACTGTGCATTTAGCACTGGCTGTTGCACTGCACTGATAGGATAACTAGGTGAAAAGAAAGGAGAAAAGAAAATGAATGCAGCCGCCGCATCTAAGGACTGACAAGCTGCAATATGTGACATTTTTGTTCTTGGGGTTAGATACACTATAAAATTAAATATAAATTAGTATATAGTTTGTGCCAAATCGTGTCACCTGACGGGGCCGCTACAAGCAATGTATAGCTGCCAACATTCCAGAAGAGAACATTGTAAACCACTCTATTATTCTGCCAAACATCATTGAGCCCACAGGCCATCCCTTTCTCTGGAAGCGTCAGGTCTTTATGACTCTCGCGTTCAATAACACAAATTACTACAAATTGTTGTATATTTCAGGCATTTCCACAACCCTTTACTGACCTACCTTGAAAATGTGTAGTGAAGTCCCCCCCTATCTTATATAGGCCATACCCCCTTTTGTACACAGGTCATACGCATTGTAACATGGACCATAACCCCTTTTTATATAGGCCATCCCTCTTTCTTATATGGGCCATACCCCATTTATTATATGGACCATGCACTTTTTTAATAAATAGACCATACCCCATATTTTACATACCCCCTTTTTATATAGGCCATTCCCCCTTCTTATATGGGCCATATCCCCTTTTTATAGTACTGTGGTATATGCATAGGGATCCAGTTTTTTTGGGCAACTGGTTTGGAAAAAGCGTGTAATAGGTCATCTACATCACAATGGAACAGCCATCCCCAAACAAGGTCACTGACACCTCCTGTCACCAAAATATAAATCTATTTTACCAAATTTGCCCCAGATTTTGACAACAATTCACCCCTTCGGCCATAAGAATCAAACCATTTACATCTGGTTTTGGTGCCACTGCACCTTGATGATTGGATTATGTAAATGAGATCACAAACTTGCACCCCCCCCCCCATCAAGTTTTTGAACAA